GGTGTTTTCCCTACTGTAGGGTATCTTGGCACTGCTCCAATAAATGGAGAAAAATTGCTTCTTGTCCTAGTATGGGTAGGCCTAGGCGGTTCTTCTGGTTGCCTGTTAGGGCACGGCGTAGAGGCCTCCTCAGCCATCTCGATTTCTGGATTATTATCCATTAGTCGTTTGCTTGTGCCTCTAAGGTCCTTTGAGGCTAGTCTTTTTTTGTTATTTTTATTGTTTTGATATGTCTGTGTTTCTTGCTGAATTTGAGCTTCAATGAGCTCCTGCGTTCCTATTGGCCCCTCTAGTCTTGGCATTAGAGCCCAAGCTCTGTGAGAAAATTCTCACAGGCGTGAGATAACGAAGGAAGGCCTCCTTCTTCTCCCTACTGCGCGCTAGCGCCTTAGCTGCAGGTGTTAAAAGTGCTGTTAGTCGATTCCTCGTGGTCGGTTCTCCTAGATAGCGTGCTTTCCTAGCGGTTTCCAGAAAATTCGAAGTTGGTGGTTGTTGAAACTAGTATAATTAGAGTAATAAATCAGTGAAGGGAGAGTAATATGGTTGAAGAGGTCTTGTAGAACGAGTTTGCATGCACCCAAGATACATAAAAAGAAATGGAAGAAGCAGCTAGTTGTACAGGTATCCTCCTTTTATATCTTCCTTCATGATAGCTTGCTTAGGTAATCATATGTGAGCTTTTCCCTTCACTACCACGTGACCTTCTCTAATGGTGATAGAGGCGTAGCCCCTTACAGAGAGTATATACGAGTTACTCAGACCAAAGTGAAGGTAAAACTCAAAAGTATATGCAAGCAGGGAGAAAAACTTTCTTTTTTGCCGTTGGTTAAAAAGAGTAAAATTTTAATGTCCTACTAAGAAGTTATTGGTTATGAAATTAGGTAGCGAAGTCTCTATAGCTTGCTTTGTGAAACACTTCCTCCCACCAACTCTAATAACTTCATGTTATCCTTCTCCACACGAGAAGAAGGTGGCTTTCTCTTAACGATTATATAGTAAAACATTTAACAAGCCCCCACTACCAGTGGATCCCCTAGTCTAACACCTTGTACAAGGCTAATACTCTGTATATCGGACCTGTAATTACATTCAACGCTCCACTCCTCGTACAACACATACACATGATCCTTCTCTTCCCAAGGGCCCTTTGCCGCAATCATACATACAAACCCAGTGTTCATCTCAGTCCCACTTCCCCCCTCATCACACACTCACTGCCCACCAACCCGCGTATCCCCTGGGAGTAACCACCCAAACTCAATATTAACCCTAAACATATGCGACCTCGCCGCAGCCCGAGGTCCCTTCGTCCTCGCCAGCGGCCGCGGCCTCAGCCTCTGGCGCCGATTGAGCGTCTCCATGATTGGCCCCTGCTGCAGCTCAGGCGGTAAATTCGCGGGATCGATTCTGACGCCCGAGCAACTAAAACAAACGGTGATGTATTCTAGGTTACTCGGTAGTTTGGGTTTCTCGCCACATGGACACATGCGGCCGATGCCTCTGGCTCTGCGATTATTGAAGACGGTGTTGGAGATCCTGTTTTCAGGCTGAGTGGCGTCTTGCAGGCGGCAGCGTTTCTTGCCTGTTATGACTGGTTTTGTGTGCCGGCGCAGGATGTCTTCTGCATTGGTGTAGGGTCTCCAGCAAGTTTCTAGAAATATTGTGTCGCGGCAGGCATGGCAGTGCGTGTTTGCCCATATTGCAATGGATGTTGTAGCGCACGTGCATAGGTCTTGGAGGCCGTTGGCTAGCGGCCATTGACGTGCCCATATGACACTTGAGTTGCCAGGTGCAGGTGTACCCTGGCGCATCCAATATAGTTCTACTTCGCCGCGGATACAGCTGTGGCAAAGTTGGTTGCGGTGGCCAGAATGATAGTTCGCGGTTGCTTCGGCGTCGACATAAACGACCTTTCCTGGAAGGTAAGTGGTTTCGTGTACTCTGCAAAATCCACAGGTGACAATTGGATTGGGCAATGGATGTATGTGACCGCCATACAGAGAGGGTGGAGTGGTAAGGTTTAGCCCGGGCAAATTAAGTCCAGGACACCAAGCTAGTGTTGTAAGATCACACCCAGGGGCTCCAATCGGGCGGCCCACAGCACCACAATGTCTAAAATCGTGGCATGAGAATATGGGCGGCGGTGTTCCCGGATCACTACTGTGTTCATCAGAACTAGGTGACGAAAAAATACATGACAGGGGTGATGATGGCCCGACACTTTCGGTCTCATTGATGACAATCGCAGATAGACTCATTGAATAGATTTCGGTTGCAGATGTCTTCGACACTTAAGTAAATGTGAAAGTTTTGTTTTTTAGCGGAGATACATCCTGTCTACAACGTCTGCTGTTCATTTAAGAAGTGATCAATAACTACGCTGCTCACAGAGACATCTTTCGTAATGGAGGATGGTTCAAAGAAACCCCATAACAATACCATTGTGTTGAACGAACAAGGAAAAAACCTCCAGCTTGGAAGACCCGAAGATAACAAAGACAAATTGACTTGAAATCTGCCTCGGACAAAGCAACTCTTAGTGCCTTGCAGATACATCTTCTTTCTTTCCTCACATTGCCTTTGATGTCAGCATAATATCGACCTTCAATCATCAACCAGTTCAACTATATCGCCAAATTCGCGAAAGAGCCAGGGCTCCAAGTCTGTGAAAGCGTCGGCAGTTGACTTTTCCAGAGACGGAAACATCTCAATGGACTCTTCAGCTATCTCTGATATACCGGTAAATTCGTCCTCGATCGTCGATGGCTTCTGGCTTTTCTTTAGTGCCAGAAGTGCTAGATTATCATTTGAAACTGTAAGATCTTGCGTACTCTTACCGTCACCCTTTTTCTTCGCCGGTATTAGATGTGCATCTCCAACTTCTGAGCTACATGTATTGTCTTTGGGGGGCGACTCCTGAGGTGCGCAATAGCATTCATAGATTGATGTTCCTGGAGCACCCTGCGTACTACGGTATAGACCGTCGAATTCGTCATCCATATAATGATGATCCTTGTTCTGGGTCTTATGGTCGGCGCAGCTTGGAATTTCTTCCATTGTCCGTATCCTTCCAGTATCATCCTTGTCTTTATCTTGTAGATCTTGCGAATCAGCCAAGCCAATCATTGCGTCTCCGAGCAGTGAATCGTCGTCACCAAAGGCGTCCGATCCTGCAAAAGCGTCCAAAGCAACTGAGTTACAGATCATGAGGTTCTCGTAGTCGGATTCCATATTCTTCATATCATGGAATTGGAGTGAATCGAAACAATCAAACTGGTCATCGAATGGTACATCGCCGTAGTCGCTAGAGCCGTGAGGTGGCTCGTTGCACAACGATTCTACAAGAAGACGATTCATTCCATCTTCATGACAGTCACGGTGAGAAGATTTTGTATCGATCGTTGAATGAACTGTAGAGGATTCGTTATTCCCAGCAATCTTGTGAAGTTGGTAAAGTCCGCGGTACTCTTTCGGTCCAGCTGTAATGGAATCGGATTTCTTCTTCTTTTCTTGCTGAGTAAGATCTAGCTCTTCAATTGGAGAAGTGATTTTCCGCTTTGACGTTGTGAGCTGAAGCTTGGTTTGAGTTTCTTTACCCTTTGGCGACGCCTGCTTTTGTTGTAGGTTTGACCGCTTTTCGCCCAGCTGCACACTTTTAATTGTGGCTTTTCTCTTGGACGGTTTGTCCATACCTTCCTTGCAGCATAGATGTTTGCATGCTTCGCGGTCTTTGCAGGGGTGATTACAGGCCCACTTTCCGTTGGCAAGCTGCACTGGATCTTGGTCACTTGCTTCTTTCCTAGCTTCGCGCATCCTTGTGGCATTCTGAACCTTTCCAGTGTTCCTCTCTCTGTTCGGGTTAGTCTTGGAGGGCTTTTTTTGGGTCATAGAATCAAGGGGATCGGCATATGAGTCGATGTGGTCGAATTCGAGGTTACTGCAAGCGGCTTTGACGAGTGTGTCATCGTCAAGACCATCGTCGCCAAAATCATCACTTGCAGCTGTAAGTTTTCGCGTTGCTTTGATGTTCTCGATACGTCGTTTTGACATATTGGACAGGTGCGGTGTTGAAGTACTGGGCTCAGAAGGTCTCGGAGTCGGATACATCGATCGGGGTATTTGAGGTCTAACAGTAGCGCTGCGCATACTACCAGCTAGAAATATCAGTCAATAGCATGAAAAGAGCAGCTAGTACATACCTATGCCATCACACATGACATGGCAATTGACCAGCTGGTCAGGGCTAGTCAAAAGAACTGAAACCGTAACCATTTGACCGGTGCCAATTTTAGGGCCGCTGCAAAAGGCATAAGCGCCGATCGTATTGGGGGAAACAAGTTAAATACCTCATGCGAGCAAAATGCATCTTGCGCCCGTCAGATGTCTCCATCAATAGGCAAACATAGACGAGTTTGTTGTTGAACCACTGGGGTACGCGTTCGGTTATGAAACCAATATCCGTCTTAATCTGTATCTTGACCCCTTCCAAAGTTTTGGTGATCTTGAAATCTCTTAGCAAAACTTTAGACAACTTTTCGGGGTTTTCTTACAGTAGCAGGTTGCGCTTGGAGCGAAACGCGAAGCTTTGGAAAGCCCTTCGTCCTTTCGAGCACCTGGAGGCCATAGGGGGGATTCCTTCCGAGAAGGGCTTCGATTCGGTGTGGATCGCAACCTTCGAGATCCTCGACACACTTGATTCCTGCGTTGACGAGCCTTCTGACAGAGACTACACCTAGACCCTCAATTTGCTTCATTTGAAGCGGGCTGTCATCCCAAATTCTAGCACCGAGGCTTCGCTCCAGCATCAGTGCATTCTGAAGGCTAACAGAATCGCCCAACTCGATTTGACAGTCGATAATGCATCGGACTAGACTGCCTATATTTTTGAACACCATCGCAATCTCGCTCATGTACTGCATCTTGTATTTAGCCATCTCGCCATCCCAGGGAATATCGGCAGATCCGAGCACAGATTGAATAATGAGCGATACCTTGTGCGCTGGAAGGTCTATATTGATGGGGATAGGCAATCGGATCGAAGGTGACTTGTTCAGAAGCCTGTATAATGATTTTTCACCTTGACGGAAACGTATCGTCGAGTATTCTTTGGCTTGCACAATAGCCGAGAGCTGAAAGTGTTAGCATATTCTACAAAAAGTAATCAAAATTATCAATTACTTACAATCTCCGAAAGCGTGGACTTTGCCGGCAATCCCATGAACAATTTCATCGTTTCAAAATGGACATAGTACTGCGACATGGCGTTTCCAAACTCTGTAGTTCTGAACATCTCTTTTCCAGAGACGAGATCATATTCTCGCAGGAGATTGACGTCGCGAACGCAGATATCGTCTATCTGCTCCTCGATGCTTTGACCACTTCGAGCACCCTGAAGTTTATAGTGCTCAGGATTTTGCTGCAGCCGAACGAAAAGAAAGGTACCTTTGAGCCATTTTCTAGCCGATGGCAAATCCCGGATTGTCCCAAGACCAATCTCAGCATTCATATGGTCAATCAAGTTAAGATGAAGCTTGCTCTCTATCACTTCTTGACCAGTGACCATCATTTCGTATCGACGGACCTTCGTCTGGCGCGTCATGATGACTGCTACGGCCGTGCTGTCAAACTGAGGGCGGCCCGCGCGACCAAGCATTTGCATCATCTCCAGATCAGAGTATTCCTGATATCCTCCCTGGCTCCAGCCTACAGTGTTCTTGATTATAACAAGGTGGCAGGGAAGATTTACTCCCACAGCGAGTGTTGAAGTGCAACAAATGACACCAATTTCACCAGCGATGAAAAATTTCTCAATCTGCATCCGGTCGTCTGTGTCAAGCCCAGCGTGATGGAACACTACCCCCGAGGCAACCATATCTCGAAGATCTTTATTGAGCAGGGGAACAGATCTCGATGGTGCTTTCCAGACGCGGTCTTTGGATGACCTAGAAGACCACCAACTTGCGAGTAGCTTCGCTGTTTCAAACGCGGATTTTCTGGTGGCGCAAAACACCAGTATCGGCTTGCGTTCGGAGAAAGTAGTTATCACATCTGTAATCTTTGAATTGAGAACTTTCTCGAATCCAAACTCGTTGCTGGTGTGAGAGACGTAGCCGCACACATGCTTTCGGAGCTTCACAGGCCGGAACTCTTCGCCGAAATTTTCGTTTACCGCTGGTGTGTCTGATTCTAAAGTGCTCTTTCCAAGCCAAGTTGCGATGTCCTTGAGATTGGGAACTGTTGCTGATAATGCGACAAACCGAACATCTGTCCCAATAGACTTCATTCGAGATACCACCGTCTCCAAGGTGGCGCCGCGGTCTTCTTTGAGGATATGAACTTCATCAATAAGAAAGACTTTGACGAGATTCATGAGCCTCTCACGATCTTTCCATTTCCTTGTCATGCTGTCCCATTTTTCCGGCGTTGTGATGATGATGTTTGCGGATTGCACGTTTCGGAGATCTGCAATGTCACTATCACCGGTAAGCTCGGCACATTTCAGACCGATTTTGTTGAACTTGACTTCCCAGTCACGTTGTCGTTCTGAGCACAAAGCCTTGGTAGGTGCTTGATAAACAATCTTGTATTGCCCAGTTGCATTTGTAGCATAGGCTCGGCATACAGCGAGCTCAAGGATTACTGTTTTTCCACTTCCAGTTGGAGATGCGAGAACGAAATTGTTGTCAGTACGGAAGATAGTGTCGAAACACTTGGACTGGACGGCATTGAATGTTGGATAGGGAAATATTGTCCGAAGCCGGTCTGGCAAAGTTGCAACAGGGACGAGACGAATACCCTGACAGACAGGAGGTGCATTTGACATATCCACTTGGGCTGTCTGTAGCTCGGGAGGGGTTAAGCGTCGACTGTGGCGAACGTTTTCGTCTCTTCGCTGAAGAGGGTGTGGCTGTTGGTAAACGATGTCGGCCTCGGATTCGATAGATGCCATCTGCTGGTAAGGGTTTGTATACCGATGGTCCTCATGTCCTACATTGTGTTCGTGGTTATCGTTGAACACTCTGGTCTGTTCGCCACGCTGTGCCGTAGCGATAGTGGTTTGCTCGGTGCGACGCTTACCAGCCTTGAACGCTGGGCTGGATGATAGGCCTATCGGAAGATCGGAACTCGGTTCATGAAGGTGGGCAGGAAGGTTGGCAAGACGACCTAATAAACAATGAGCATGTTGATTGACAAGCATACTTTTCCCGAGCTTACTCATTTGGCCACCAATATCTTTCTCATGATAGGTTTGATGGTCATCTACCATGTTAGTAACTGTACCGTTAATAGTAATGAATTAATTGTACCTTGCATCTTGTATGAATTGCTATTGCTGGCACCATTCCATGGTTGCGAGTAGATAGGCATTTCATTATTCGAGAATACAGACGGGCCGGGTGCGAGCGACAATCTCCCCGTGCTTTTCGCGGCTTGTATCTGGCGGCTAGGGTACGGTTGTTGAAGTAGTCTGTTATCTGTAAAGCATTAGTGAGACTACATTCCGCGCAATCGAATGCATATAGATACCGAAAGAATCCAGCTGGGATCCCAGGCCGTCCGCGATGTCGTCTTCGACCACGTCGTACATGGGGTCTTCGTATTGAGTGGCTCGGTAGCGGTCTCGGGGTGGGATTGGACGTGGCGGCTGCTTGAAGGGAGGCTGAAGGATGTCGTATTGTGACGCTTGTTGCGAACTGCGCGGCAGTTTGGCCTGTCGATAGTGTTTGTCCATTCTGACTTGGCAAATGCTGAAGTAAGAGAGGTGAAGGTTAGGGGAGAGGAGATGGAAGAATGCAAGCTGAGGCTGAAGCGAAATGGTGAGAGATGGCGCGTCAAGTGAAGAATGTCGGGACGAATGCAGAAGGGACAATGGAGGAAGCGGCGACCAAGAACGATAGTTTGCAGAGGGCTGCCCTAACAGCCATGTCATGAATGACGGCATTCGGAATCTATCTTATTGTCGCAACAGAACTTTACTCTACTACTATTGCAGCAGTATTGATTACACGGATCGGTCGCATGGAGGCAGTGCATTGGAGCTTGACACTCGAATCCTCTCGCACAAATGTGCGAAAAGATGTCTATTTTGAGACTCACTTATATATACACATCATCTTACCAGCTCAAGTAATTGAACAGCTTGACTTATCAGGAGCGCGAACCTATTTATCGTACTTATTTACTAAATTTATGTTGTACCGTCCTCAAGCCTCTCGTTTGTCAGAACGTCGTTCCATCGTTGGCGATCCGGGTGTTTGTTTATGCGACCCTTCAGACGATGGATTCAAAGCCTCACGTTCGTTGTAAGAGCCGCCCACTGTGTTTTTTTCAAAGTCGGTAGTGGTTGCTGACGAGTGCTGCATCCCTCGATCTGGTCTGGTGTAGAGATAGGTCGCAAATAGGACAACGCAAGTACCCACGAAAAACTATCACTTATCAGTACTGATTGGCGCATGAAGCTGCGGTCGACTTACCGATGGTGTCACCTTGAAGTCGAAGAAGTGGACGCTGGCAATGCAGCTCAGAAGAATGGAAATTGACGTCGCGAAATTCTTGGCGATGTTGTCCGCATAATTAATCACCAAGGCGACAATGACGCCGCCGGCCGCCTGAAACCCAATGGCAGTCCAGACTACCCAATTGTAGCCAGCGAAGAAGCCAGTCTTTGCAATGATTTCACCATCCTTCCAAATCACACCCAAGAACAGTGCTGGAAACAGCGACCAGAAGGAAAGCTGGCAATTGCGCACCCACAATGTTGTACTCTTTCCACTCGGCGAGTCTTTCAAAATCTTTTCAAATGTCACTCCAGCTAGACCCGACAATGCGCAAGCCACGAGCACAGCAATGAGTCCGACACGTTTGTCCATATGCGGCATTTGGGCTGCACGGTCTGCATGTATGCCCTCGTACGATCCGGAGCGCTTTCCCATGCGCACTGAAACATGGCTGCCGAGCTCGTGCAGGTGCTCTAGAGTTTTTGTCCAAGGCGACGAGGCTGATCCAGAGGTGGAGGATTCAGACATTGCTTGGGGTACCTGTATGATGGACACGCCGACAATGAGCAGTAGAAGCGACAACCATTTGCGCATTGAAAGAGTCCTTCCCAGTATCATCACACTAAAGATGGCGGTTGTCAAGATCTTGAGCTGGTAGGTAACCTGAAATGTCGCCGCGTCCAGATTGCTGACCGCCACATATTGCAGGTTGTTCTGTATAGTGTATAATACGGCAGGTATCGCGAGCTTCCAGCTCTCGTTTGTGAAAACGGCCGTCACCAGAGTGTAGAGTAGCGTCGCGAGCGTAGTGTTTGACGGAAGTGCTTTGGACATTTCGTACAATGCCTATTCGCCTGTCAGCGCGCGCCGTTTGACCGAGTCGGCATACTTACCATTGTTAGGCTGATTGCCAACTTGATTACTTCGTTCAAGAAGACACTTGTACTTGTGTGGTATCTTTGTCCTCCAGCCAGGGGCATGATTCTCGAGTAATGCATAATCTGGTGCGCGTTAGCCACTAAACTAGTTCTCTTGCCGGCTATCCAGTGCTCTGTCTTCCTCGTCGGTAGGGCAACGGTCTTGGTTCGTCGCATGGGATGTCATACCAGTATGAGGGCCGAGTTCTGGACTGTCAACTGCGCAGGCGTTAGCTTGTCTCCCACAACAACCATGCAGCAGAGCGTCTAGGTACCGTGACCAGCGAAAGGTGCTTCATCGACACCCCGCCGAGCGTTCCAGTCACAGTTCTAACCACCATTTTGTCTTCCAAGTCGCGCACTCGTCTGTTGAGATTGGGCGGGCAGTATGGCGCATGGGCGGTCGAGGTCGATGTACGGCAGGAGGGCAAACTGGAGGTAAAGAAACACGGAGCCTAGGGCACTGAGAAACGGGCGCTGCTTGCGAACATGGCGATTATCTCAGCCGTCGATTCCCGCGTCAGCGCTCTCGAGGCTCTAGACGCGCTACTGCAGGCCATGCGACAGGGGTCCCTGGCGCCGATCGCTTCTTGGCGCCTCGAAATACAGAATACTGCGCACTAGAACGCGTCACGCTTCTCACACGTGTCTGGAACACCGCCACTTGCAGCTTGCATGCTTCGGGCCTTCCATCTTGCAGTCTTACCCTCACGTCCCAACAGACCGCACTTCCAGCAATAGCTTGTTATCAACTAAGATCGTCGTTTCAACATTGCGATGCTTATGTACAGTCAGCGTCTGCGGCCTCGCCTCTTCGTATTACCCAATTGCCCTTCTCCGGAAACGGATCATGTCACAGTTGCACTTCAGCACGCGTATCTTGTATATGACATGCGAAAAGGCCAGCAGCGTGCACGAAGTCGAGAGCGGAGACACGGCAAGTGACAATGCAGTAAAGGGCACAAAGGAATCCCTCCGGGTAAACTATGTCTGTACTGTAGAGTCATCCCCATTGGATCACATGGTCTCACGAAGGGGAAGCAAATTACAAGACCTGGCCACATATTGGATTTCATTCATACCGTGTCTAAGAGCTGACGGCTGGGCTCCCTATGCACTGACATCCCCGCTAGCCCGAACACTATTCACCATTAACTTGGACTCTCAGCCCACAAGACCGCAACAGGTCATAGGTTGCTGCGCAACTGTAGCATGCTTTACCCCATATCGATGTATTCGCCCCTGAACACCGCCCGCAAAGAAAGTGTTTATTGCATCTCCACACAGCTGCCTGGAATCAAGACATCGAATGCCACCTCGAGATTGTTTCGCTGCATGACCACCCCGAGTTTCGAGCCATATCATATGTATGGGGCGACACAGCGGTCAAGTTGCCCATTACGGTCGACGGACATCCGTTCTGGTAACGTGACTTACAAGCTCCCCTAAAGCAGCAGGAGATTGTCCGACGGACAGGTTGCGACACGGATCTAGCACTTGTGGATTCGTATTGTGTCGGTGCACAGGGTCGCATGCGAGCCTTGTGCTTACTAAGATCTAAAATCTAGCTTGCTGAAAAAATAGTCAAGTAGTCATAGTATGTGGTATTAATGAACTAACGTCCCTTGAAGATTTCAGGACCCACATAGAAGCCAGCGTGATACGAAGAAGATATCCTCTCAAGCTCTAGCTTGAGGGAATTCTGGTGAGTCTGGTTCAAATCTATCTATTAAGAAGATATCGCAGTTGTGCAGTTCCCAGCCACAGTGTGCAGTGTGGCACGCAGACATATCATCACGCTATTGCATACCAAGTACCACGCTGGTAGACAGGTAGGGGTTAAGTAAGGTTTACTCAGCGGGGCCCGACTTCACGGAGCTCTAGCTCAGCAACGGGGCACAGGATCAATCGCGCAACCTCTTTTCCGCATCAGGCGGTAGGACGGCTAACATCAGGAGAGTGGACGCTGGTCTGATTACAAATGCTTTCCAACCGTTCCGTACAGTCTTGCAAGTGGAACCACCGCTGCCTGAAGACCATACTTGGGATCAGTTCATTCACTGCATCACGTCATGGTGCCATATGGCTGCGCTTGGGATCACAGCTGATCAATATCATTACTCAAAGCACTCACGAAATGAAGTCTTCTGGCTGACAGTCACTAACGACACTTGGCAACTGCAGCGCTTGAATTCGGTCGACGTGATTTCTGCTCCGCCTGAGCACAATGGCGAGATCTTCACCGCATACCGAAGTTAGTCGAATGGCAGAAGGCTTTTGGAACTGGGCCCAGTCCTATCTAAGAGAAAACGAAAAGAAGATGCCAGAGCATTTAAGTAGTATGCATGAGATCAGGGGCCTTTTACAAGTCGCTGGGCGGAGCGGCCTTGGACCGGGAATTTTTTCTAACAACGGATGGCTACATGGGTATGTATCCGCCTGAAATGGCGTTTAGGAATAGTATTACTCTTTTATCCTGCAGCAAAGTACCATTTTGTATTCGGGCTGTTCAATATGCACAGCAGGGCTATTACAGGATTGTTGGGGACACCTATGTGCACGACTTGATGGATAGGGAAGACACTATTCATGGATGGGGTGATGGGATCGTTCAGATACACCTCTATCGAGCAGACCCGCCCGCTACTTGGAGTAGGGAAGGACAAAACTTTATTTGCGGGTAGCGCAGTGACTGACTCGGTACGGAGGTGCCTCACAAAAGTTTTGTCCTGCCAAGAATAATTTAGCCGAAATCTGGCCGCTCTCCTACACAACGCCTATCTCTCCCCTCTATATACTCATTACCACCTTGTAGCTCAATTATCTTTGGAATATGTATAAGAATACGCTCAATCCAAGCTTGGATCTTAGCTTGTGGGAGATCTCTCCAGCAATTTAGCCAGATTCTAGTTGCCTCCGTTCTTGACTGTGGAGCTCCTTTCTTTGTAGTCTCTCTCTTCATGTAGAACCAGCATGGCTCAATACAGTTACAGTCTGGAGAGTTGCCAGGCCAAAGTAGTCTCTCGACGTTGGATAGACTATAGACAACGTTCTGATACTGGTGGGCGTGCCCAGGTGCCTTATCCTCCATAACTACGGTCTGAGGCCTATCTTGGAGGCACTCTTTGGCGAAAGGAATCAGCTTTGGGATCAGAACGCAGCTCTGATATCTCCACCAGTCTATACCGCCTTTGGACGAACGCACTAGCTTGCCTGTCTGCTCTGTCCATCTCCATTGAGG